AATGTCAGAATAAAGACAGAGTTGTGTTTTTTTGTTTTTATTACTTTCATGCACTAAGTTTGTTGTGTCTTTATCAAACAAGACATCAGGAAAAGAACTGTGGACTTCCACGTGTGTGGCTCATCTATTGGTGCAATTTCCAGATAACTGAAGGTCCCACATTTATCAGTTCAGACAATAATACACAAGTATAAAAAACATGGGAACGTACAACCATCAAACCGCTTGGGAAGGAGACAGATTCTGAGTGCCAAAGAGGAACATTTTTTTTTTTTGAAATGTGTGAAACAACCCAGGACATGATGAAACGACCTTGTGAAGATGCTGGCTGACACTAGAAAGACAGCGTCACCATCCACAGTAAAACGAGTCCTGTACCACCAGGAGCTGAAAGGTTACTCTGGGAGGAGAAAGCCATTACTTCAAAACCACCATAAAAAAGTTAGACTACAGTTTGCTGCTGCACATGGGGACAAAAATCCTAATTTCTGGAGACATGTCCTGAGGTCTGACCAAACAAAACTGTTTGACTGTAACGATAAACAGTATCTTTGAGGAAAAAGGGACTGCAGAAGGGACTGGTGCATTTCACAAAATAGATGGCATGATGAGAAAAAACAATCATGTGTACATGTTTAAGCAAAATCTGAAGACATCAGCCACAACGTTGAAGCTTGGGTGTACATTGTATATATCCTGGATTCTTTTTTTTAAAATATATTTCAGACCTTCAGATTTGGTGAGTCAATATTGGTGTGCATTCCATTCATGAAGAGATTTGAGTCAGCAAATTCTGAATGTTTAGAACTGAAAGACAAACCTCATGCTTTTTTTTCTCTACCTGATTCTTCAGTTTCTCTGTTGTTTGTTTCACCTGCTGGAGCTGATTGATGATTTCAGTTTTCTACTCTGACTGCAGCTGAAAAGTTACATGAAGAAAGAGCAGAAGGAAGAAATTCTCATGTTTCAGACACAATAATGAATCAAATTAACTCAAAAACTGCAACCAAGTGAAACTGTACAGCACTGTACAGTACCTTTCCAAGCTTGTGTTTTAAAAATATATTTATGTCCAAACTGTTTTTTAATTACTGCATGAATTGAAATGTTTTGCTTATTTTATTCTTTAGCATAATGAAATACACAACACACAACCATATAACTTTGCTGCTGTCATAATTTAAATTTGTGCTGTCAATTTTTAATCTGATCAACAGGAGGAAAGATCATGGGGACAACAGAACTCCTCAGTCACCAAGATTGGTCCAGTTGGTGACTGGACCAATCTTGGTTATGGGAAGATATTGCACAATATAATTGAATCAAATTTTAATATAAAAGTTTCAGTAATCATCATAGAATACTATGATTTTCATATAAATATTTAAAACACATGGCAATCAGGGTGTTTGAAGTCTGACTCAGTGAGTTCAACAAGAGCGATCAGCATCCAGGAGTTTACACTGCAGGTGAGTCAAATCTGAGTTTTGCAGAAGGGAACTGAAGGCATAAAGAGGCAAAAGTAAGTACAAGGTAGTAAAAGTCATATGACAGCAGTGCTCTTATACAAGCTCCAAACTCGAAGTTGGATTAACCTTGAGCCACTCCTTAAAACCTTGCATTTGTGGGAAATAATCACATGTAACCGATGACAAAACCATCACTAGTGCTACGCCATTTGAGATGCTTTGCAACGCCTCAGTGCTGAGCGACTGTGTTTTTTGAAAGCTGAAGAAGTTGCCAGCAAGAAAAGACACTAAATAAAAAATATTGGTTATTGCTGAAAATCTTTGAATCTCCATCCCATGTACATAATCACACCTCGCCCTAGTTAC